GGGGTTCCCAGGGTGCTGCAAAGATCCCAGGGGTGCCATCTGCTGTTCCTGGGTACCACCTGGTGTTTCTGGGGTGCCACTGCATCCCACCACGTCTCTCCCCAGTACTTCAGCTACAGCGTGGTGCTGAGCCTGCTCGCCTGCTCCGTCTTCCTGCACATCACTAGCATTGGGAAGCTGCTGCTCATGGTGGGCATCGAGGCCACGTTCCTGCTGCTGGTGGAGGGGCCTCACGCAGCCCTCTTTGACAATGCCGACCTGCTGGTCGTGGCCAATGCGCTGTGAGTGCTCTTGGACCCCAGGGGTCCCCACCTCAGAGCCCTGTTCCTACCCCACTGACCCCTGGCTCCTGTCCCCACAGGCCCTCCTTCAACGTGACCCAGGGAGAGTGGTGAGTGGGAAACTGGAGTTGGTGGGGACCTGGGAGCAGGGGGACGAGGGTGGGCAGAAGCAGGAGAGTCGCTTGGGGGTCTGTGCTGCAGCACTGGGGGGTAGGTACAGCCTCAGGGTCTCTGGTTTGGCTTTGGGGTCTGGGTGCAAATTTGGGGCTCCTTTGGGTGAGTGAATGGATCTTTGGGGTCTACCGCGCAGATTTAGGGTCCCTGGGATGGGAATGTGAATGTTTGGGGTCTGGATGCAGGTTTGGGGTCCCTGAAGGAGGCGAGTGCATCTTGGGGGTCTGAGTAGGTCACTGGGGCCTGGGTGCAGATTTTGGATCTCTTGGGTGAGTGGGTGAGTCTTTGGGGTTGGGTGCACGTTTGGGGTTCCCCTGGGTGGGTGAGTGGAACTTTGGGGTCTGACTGCAGATTTGGTGTCCCTGGAGTGGGTGGGTGGATCTCTGGGGTCTGGGTGCAGTTTGGGATCCCTGGGTGGGCAAGGACGGGTCCCTCAGCCTGCCTCAGGGCTCCTGGGGGTCCTGCAGCCCGGCAGAGGGGAAGGTGGCCCTGCGCTACGTGACTCCCGTGGTCCTGGCCGTGTTCGCGCTTGCCCTGTACCTGCACGCCCAGCAGGTCGAGTCCACTGCCCGCCTCGACTTCCTCTGGAAGCTCCAGGTATGACCAAGGTGTGGGGGGCTGGGAACAACCTTTTTCCTGCATCCTGAGACTGGGACCGACCCCCTCCCTGCTCCCTGGGACTGGGGTGACCACAGGGACAGTATTGACCCTTTCCTATACTCTGGGACAAGAGTGACCCCTCTCAGCACCCCAGAACCGAGGTGGTTGTGAGACTGGGACTGACGCTGCTCCCTGGGATTGGGGTGACTGTGGGATTGGAACCAACCCCTTCCTTGCATGCTGGGACCAGGACTGACCCTTCTCTGCATCCCAGAACCGGGGCAGTCGTGGGACAGGGACCAATCCCTGCCCACATGCTGACAACAAGGGTGGCTACAGGGCTGGGCGTGACCCTTTCCCTGCACCCCAGGACTGTGGTGACCATGGGGCTGGGACCAACCCCCTCTCCTCACCCTGATGCTGGAGCAGCCATGGGGTCCTGTGGCAGCTCCCACCTGAGTCTGTGCCCACAGGCAACGGGTGAGAAGGAGGAGATGGAGGAGCTCCAGGCCTACAACCGGCGGCTGCTGCACAACATCCTGCCCAAGGACGTGGCCGCGCACTTTCTGGCACGGGAGCGGCGCAATGACGAGCTCTACTACCAGTCCTGCGAGTGTGTGGCCGTCATGTTCGCCTCCATCAGCAACTTCTCCGAGTTCTACGTGGAGCTGGAGGCCAACAACGAGGGCGTGGAGTGTCTGCGGCTGCTCAATGAGATCATTGCCGACTTCGATGAGGTGCTGGGGCGGAGAAGGGGAGAGGGGAAGGGGGTGCATGGAGGTGCAGTGCACAGGGATGGAGTGCAGTGGGTGGGGTTATGGGGTGCTGGAAAGGCAGTGGAGCAGTGGGGATGAAGTACAGGATGCACTCCATCCTTGGAGAAGCTATAGAGCAGCTGTCATGGAGCCACAGGAATGGGTGCAGGACATGCTGGAGAGGCTGTGGATAGGGTGCACAAGGATGAGGTGCAGGAAGATGGGGTGTTGGAGCGGCTGTGGAACACCAGGTTTGGGGACAGGGTGCAGGAGATGGTGAGCATGGAGTGCTGTAGAAGCTGTGGAGCACCATGGATGAGGATGGGGTGCAGAGGACACAGACACGGGTTGTGGGAGAGGCTGTGGAGGACCATGAGTGAGGTGGATGCACAAGGTATGGAGAGCCTGCAGAGCACCATGGGGACAGGGTGCAGGAGGGACAGGGTGCAGCAGATGGTGTGCAGGGGGTGTTGGAGAGGTTGTGGAACACCATGGGGGAGGTTGGGGTGCAGGGGATGTGGTCATGGGCTGCTGGAGAGGCTGTGGAGCAGCATTTGTGGAGCCACAGTGCAGGAGGTGCTGCAAAAGCCATGGAACAGCATCCATGGAGCCACAGGATGTGGTGCAGGATTTGGGGTACCCATCGCCCTGTCGAGGTGCTGTGGGGGTGACTCCACCCCGTCCCCCCAGATCATCAGTGAGCAGAAGTACCGGCAGCTGGAGAAGATCAAGACCATTGGCAGCACCTACATGGCTGCATCGGGGCTGAACGCGGCCACCTACGACCGTGAGGGCCGGAGCCACATCTCAGCACTGGCAGACTACGCCATGCACCTCATGGAGCAGATGAAGTACATCAATGAGCACTCCTTCAACAACTTCCAGATGAAGATTGGTGAGTCCTTGCACACCTGTTGCACACCCTTTGCACACCCTTTGCACAGCAGCCATCCCATGCTGTTGTTGGTGGCTCTTGAACCCCATTTTCCTTTCTCACTTCCTCCTTTCCCAATCACCTCTTCTTTTTCCTTTTCATACCCCATTTACCTCTCTCACACCCCTTTTTCCTCTCACACCCCCTTTTCTCCCCTCTTGCCCTTTTCCCCCTCTTGTACCCCCTTTCTCCCCTCACCCCTTCCTTTTCCCCTCTCACCTCCCCTCTCCCCTCTCCCCACCTTTTTCCCCCTTCACACCCCACTTTTTCCTGTCACTCCCTCCTTTTCCAATCTCACCCCCCTACCCCTTCTTCTCCCCGCTTCACCCTCTTTTCCCCTTTCCCCACCCCCTTTTCCCCTCTCACCTCCCCTTCTTCCCCCTTCACACTCATCTTTTCCTTGTCACTCTCTCCTTTTCCAATCTCACCCCCCCACCCCTTCTTTCCCCCATCACTCGTCTTTTCCCTTCCCTCGCCGCATTTCCCTGAGTGTGGGGGTCGTCCCTGACTCTCAGCCGTGTCCCCCCAGGCCTCAACATGGGCCCAGTGGTCGCAGGGGTCATTGGGGCTCGCAAACCCCAGTACGACATTTGGGGCAACACCGTCAACGTCTCGAGCCGCATGGATAGCACTGGGGTCCCCGACCGCATCCAGGTCAGTCAGGGGTGCGAGTGGCACAGGACGCTTGCCCAGAGACCCCCAAGGACCCCCCTCACCCCTGTGTCCTCCCTCCAGGTGACAACGGACCTGTACCAGGTGTTGGCGGCCAAGGGCTACGTGTTGGAGTGCCGGGGGCTGGTCAAGGTCAAGGGCAAGGGGGAGATGACCACCTACTTCCTCAATGCGGGCCCTGGGGGCAGTTAGGGGGGTCCCCATGGTGTCCCCCCATGCCGGGGACTCCCCCAGCCTGTGCCAAGCTCAGGCAACAAAAAAAAAAGGAAAAATCCCCAAATCCACATATTTTAAAGAAAAGGGAGAAATGGACACAAGGGAGGTGGTTGGGGGGTGTGGGGAGGTAACCCTGTGCCCTCCCTCCAGGGGTGTTTTAGGGGGTGTTTCCCAGCCCTGCACCGGGGTGGTTTTTTTTGGGGGGGGGGTCATGGTAACCCCCATCCCTTTGCTGAAACCCCCCATGTGCCAAAGAGGGGAGATGGGGCCCCCCCAGGAAAGGGACTGCAGGGGGTTTTGGGGGCAGGGGGGTCCCCAGCCCCCTCCATGTGCCAAATTGAAGTGCCGCCTGCGGGGGGTGGGGAGCAGGCCCAGCATCTCCGCAGCCCCCTCACCCCCCGGGGGTCCCAGCTCCCTCCGGGGGGGCTGTGGCGGGGAGGGGGGGGCAGATCCTCCCCCTTTTAAATGCAAAAAAAACCTAATGAAGTGACTTTTTTTTTTTCTTTTATTTTTTTTTTTTTGAAGCAGTTTTGGGGCGGGGGGGTTCAGCCCGGGGGACTGTGGGGGGCACTGGCTCCCTCACCCCAGCGCAGACCTGAGGTACTTTGTCCTTCGTGTGTACAGATAAATTATATATAAAACACTTTGGATACGAGCTGTGGCCTGGCCTGTGGGGCGGAGGGCGGCCGGAGGGGCTTGCGGGGATCCCGGTTGGGAGGGGGCTGGGATCCCAGGGGGGCAAAAGCACCGGGATCCCGGTGATGAGGGGTCCCGGAGCGGGAGCACAGCGAAGTCCCGGTGCGAGGGGATCCCGGTGAGGGAAGGGGGGTGTCAGAGAAGTCGGTTGGGGAGTACAGACAACGTCTCGAGGTGCGAGGGGCTGCGGGACCCCGGTAAAACCGGATCTTGGAGGGGTGGGAAAATCAAATCCCGCTACCTCAGGGTCCCGGGGTGGGGGGGAAACATACCAGAGTCCCGGGGGGGTGATACACTGAGGTCTCGGGGTGGAGGGACACACCGGTTTCCCGGGGGTCCCCGGCTGTCAGTGCGTAGAAGTGCCGGTACGGGGGAGCTGAGAGGGCGGTGGCAGGGCCACCGGGACCGCCCCGGGGTGCGGGGGTGTAGCGGGACCCGCTGAAACCCAAACCCCTCACGGCGTGAGGGGGAACGCGGGCGGCGCCTCACGGGCGGGGCGTGGCCTGGCCGTGAGGGGCGGGGCATCTCTCAGTCCCCGCCCCCTCAACGGTCCCTCCCGGCTTTGGAACGCTCGCACCTCTAACGGCTCCCCCCGCGCCCGCCCACCCGACGCTTGACGTCAGCGCGTCGCCGCGTTGCGTGCGCACGCCGCGTCCCCCGCGCGGGCGCAGAGCCGCCATGGAGGCCTCAGCGGGCGGCGGCGGCGCCGGGCCCGGGCGCCGCTGGTACTTCAGCCGCGAGCAGCTGGAACGGAGCCCATCCCGTCGCGCCGGCCTGGACCCCGACAAGGAGCTCTCGTACCGCCAGCAGGCGGCCAACCTGCTGCAAGACATGGGGCAGCGCCTCAACGTGTATCCGGCCGCGCTAGGCCGCGCTAGGCCGCGGGTGGGAGTGGGGCGGGGCGGGGAGAGCCGGGTGAGGGGAGAGCCGGGAGCGGGTGAGGGGAGAGCCGGGAGCGGGTGAGGGGAGAGCCGGGAGCGGGTGAGGGGAGTGCCGGGAGCGAGTGCGGGGAGAGCCGAGTCTTGTGGGGATCGAGGAGAGCCCGGGACGGGGAGATCAGTGCTGGGGGGTGATGGGAAGGCCCGAGCCGGCTCTCGGAGCGGGGAAAGCCGAGCTCGTTTTTGTTTCGGGAAATCCCATTTCGGGCTTAGGAAATGCTGTGCTGGCGTCTTGGAAAGGCTTGGGAAGGTTTGGCCGGCCCGGGAGTGGGGAGAGCTGTGGCGGAGTGCTTGGAAGGGAGCGGCAGGCCCGTCCCGGGTGCGCCGAGCCCGTTTTGGGATCGAGGAGATTTCGGGAGTGGGGAAGGCAGTGCCGGGATGCGGGGAAGGGAAGACACGGCCAGACCGGGAGCAGGGAGAGCCGAGCCGCTTTCGAGATCGCGGAAATCCCGTTTCACGAGCAGGGAAAGCTGTGCTGGTGTGTTGGGAAGGCCTGGCTTAGGAGTGGGGAAAGTCGAGCCCGTTTTGGGATTGAGGAAATCCGGTTAGGGGAGTGGGAAAAGCTGTACTGGCGTGTTGTGAAGGCTCGGTAAGGCTCGGTCCACGAGTGTCTAGGAAAGCTGAGCCTATTTTAGGACCAAAGGAGATCCCAAAGACGATTTCAGGAGCAGGGAGAGCTGTGCCAGATTATCAGGAAGGATTGTCCAGGGAACAGGGAGAGCTGAGCCTGTTTGGGATCAAGAAGACCCCATTTTGGGAGGAGAGAGAGCTCTCCTGGGCTGTTGGGAAGGCTCAGCTTGGGAATGGGGAGTGCCAAGCCTGCTTTGGGATTGAGGAGAGCCTGTTTCAGGAGTGGGCAGAGCTGTGCTGGGATGCAGGGAAGGTTTACCCTGGGAATGAGGAGAGCCTGTCCCATCCTGGTGCTGTTGGTGTGTGGGGTCTGCTCCAGTGGCTCCGCTGGGCAAGCCCAGGGGTCTCTGTGCTTTCCCTTAACGCTGTTCCCAGCTCTCAGCTCACCATCAACACAGCCATCGTGTACATGCATCGCTTCTACATGGTGCAGTCCTTCACCCAGTTCCACAGGAACGTAAGTGCTGGGATCTGGGGGGTGAGGGGCGCTGGGAACCCCCCAAATCCACTCCTGCTACTGCCTGGGCCAGGGACTCACCTTGGAAGAGGTTTGGGAAGGGAGATGAATCCTTTTCTCTCTCCTGGTGGTGGCCAGACTTGAACAGCCTTCATTCCCTGAAGGAATATTGAGAATCCATGTGATTTATTTGCTGTAATCTTGAATTTAGCGGCTCTTTAAGCAAACAGAGTGTTTTCCTCCACAGTCGGTGGTGCCAGCAGCGCTTTTCCTGGCAGCCAAGGTGGAGGAGCAGCCCCGGAAGCTGGAGCATGTCATCAAGGTGGCACATGCTTGTCTGCACCCCCAGGAGCCTCTGCTGGACACCAAGAGTGAGGTAAGTGTGGGGACAGAGCCTTGGGATGTGCTGTGAGCGCTGGAGGCCCGAGGACCGGGAATGGCATCCGGAATCGCGTGGCTCTGGCGGCTCCTCGACCCTCCCGAGGTGCTCAGGGGCAGCTTCTCAATCCAACTTCTCCTGCTACAGAGAGATTTGGGCTTCCCTGCTCTGTACAAAGCCTTTTCTCCTCTGCTGCACACCTGGATCCAGGTGTGCCAGTGTCCCTGGAGTGCTGCTGAGGAGGGTGTGGATGCAGGTGTGGAGCAGAGGAGCTCCACTGTGGGAGCAGTTTGTCCCAACCCCTGTATCAGTGGGTTAAAAACATTGCTGATCCCTCATCTCTCCAGACAGCCCCTTTTAGCTGGAGCTGAGCAGCGAGTCCTGCTGGAAGGGGCAGCTTTTTCCAGGAAAGCTTACAAAAAATTAAAAAAAAAGTCAGGAAAAGCAGCTGATTCCCGCACTGCTCGTATGCCACCCCTGGAGAGTGGGAGACGAGCACCCAGGGCCCCCCAAAAAACTCTGATCCCTCTTTCTTAGAATCTCCAGATGGTTTGGGTTGGAAGGATCTTAAATCCCATCCCATTCCACCCACCTGCCATAGGCAGGGACATTTTCCACTAGCCCAGCTTGCTCCGAGCTCCCTCCAGCCTGGCCTTGAGCACTTCCAGGGAATCTGTGCCAGTCCCCCCGTGCAGGGAGATTCCCGTTTTTGCCCCGGAGAGAAGGGTGTTAGGAATGTGCAGGCTTGATCCGAGTGCCTCTCCGTGAGTAACCTGCCTGTCCTCTCAACCCCAGGCTTACCTGCAACAAGCCCAAGACCTGGTCATTCTAGAGAGCATAATCCTACAGACCCTGGGTAAGTTCCTCGAAGCGGCCGGACTGCCACACCAATCCCAGAGCCAGGAGAATTCCGCAGGCTGGAGAGCCTCACTCCTTCCACAGAGTCCACACAACAAACCCTGTTTTTCAGTCCGACTCCTGTTTTAACATCAGTTTTTCAGGTGTAACTTGTGCCAGGCTCAGTGCTGAGAGATTTAAGTGTGGTTGGTCTCTTTGGTTTTTTTTTTCCCCTAAGAAAAACCAGGATTTGTGCTGCTTGGACACCTGCCCTTGTCCTGGGTTGTGCTTTCTGGCTCAGTCATAGAATCATGGAATGGTTTGGGTTTCAAGGGACCTTAAAGACCATCGAATTCCAGGCTGTAATGCTCCAGTTCTGTTGCAGGAAGCAGTTTGTACTGAGAGATGTCTTAAAAAATGGGTTAAAAGTGAATATTTTAATCAAATAATTAAATGGGGGAAAAATCCCCAGAACTCAACAAACCAGGAACAGTTTCTGGGTGTTTTTGGAAGTAGGAGTCTCCACATAGGGCTGTGGCTGGTGGAGCTGGTCCCCTGTTTCTTTATCAAATGTACTGTTAAAAGTTCTGTTCACTAACAAATGTTCTGTTTCAGAGGCAGTTTGTAGGTAGATTTTCCCTCCAAAAGAGCAGGATTTGTTATTCCTGACTGGATTCAGAGCAGACACCCCGTGTCCCTCCTTCAGTAGAGGCAGAGGTGTCATGGACCACAAGCCTGTGGCTAAACCAAGCCCAGTTCTGCAACTGCTCAGTTCTCCAGAGGCCTTTTTAAACATCCCAGTTCTCCCAGAACATTCTGCAGATCTGCTGTGCACATGGACCAATTGGAATTCTTTTTTCCCCTTTCAAACATAACTCCCAAACTGAGGAGGAAGCGGGAGCGAGGATTAAACTCAGTTGTCCTCAATGCTTTAGGCCCATTCAAAGGGAAAACAATCTGCTTCCTCTCAGCTTTTTGGGTGAGAGAAATTCCTTGGAGCAGATGCCATTGTCTTCGCCTTCCTCCCAGCTGCTTCAAGAGGCTTTGTCCTGCTATTTTTAAAATCCTTAATAGTTGTTTTGTTTCCAGTGAGGCCTTTCAGAAGCTGGGAGGTCTGGCAGCACCAGAGAGCGTCTGGGTTTGTAGCTGGAGAACTTGAGGCTTCTGGATACAGGAAAAACGGGCTCCTCTATTCCTGCCTGGCTCCAAGCAGGGCTGTAGGAGGGAAGGGGTGCAGGAAACACGGACCCAAGGCTGTGCTGCTGGTTCTGATGGTCCTTTGTCTGTGTCCTTGCAGGGTTTGAGATCACTATTGACCATCCTCACACCCATGTGGTGAAGTGCACCCAGCTTGTCCGAGGTGAGAGGGAATTGGGAGGAAGATAAGGGGGAGTGTCCAGCTGGGATTGCTCCAGAGCTTCCCAGAACCCTGGGATGAGTTGGTTTGGGAGGGAAAGGACAACTTCCACTTGCCCAAGTTGTTCCAACCTGGCCTGGGACACTTTTAGGGACGGGGCAGCCACAGCTTCTCTGGAAAATCAGGGCCATCCTCACAGGGAGGAATATCCCGTCTTAATCTCACCTTTTCCAGGTGAAAAACCATTCCCCCTTGACTCCAGGTCCCATCCAGAGTCCCACTTCAGCTCTTTTGGAACCTGAAAGGCCACAACAGGGTCACCCCAGAGCCTTCTCCAGGCTGAACAATCCCAATTCTCCCAGCTTTTCCTCCCAGGAGAGCTGATCCATCCCTCTGATTCTCAAAACAGCAGCAGTTTTAGATGGTTCTGGCTCTTCTGAACCACACAAAGCTCTCAGTGAACAGCAGTTCCCTAAATCCTTGTGGCTGTGACCTGCTGGTCAATCTGTGGGTGGCCCATGGTCCTTGCACTAAAATATGATAATATGAAAATAACACCTGCTTTTTTCCTTTTTTTTTTTTCTTGCAGCCAGCAAGGACTTGGCACAAACTTCATATTTCATGGCTACAAACAGGTTATTATTCTATAATTTTATAATTGATTGATAATTTATCTGCTGCCTGTGGCCCCAAGGGCATCGCTCAGTCTGGAAGCAACTGGGAATCCTGCAGGAAGAGCCTTAAGAAAGGGTTCCAGCCAGTTTTCCTGCCAGCTGCTGGGTAAAATGAGCTGGAAAATAAGGTAGATAGGATACTCAGGAGCTTTACTGCTTATTTGATGAGAATTTAGTTGAGAAATTTAAAAAAAAAAACCAAACAAACCAAAGAGATGGAGGGGAAATTAATATATAAATTTTTCCTTGCTTATTCCTGGGTGTTGGAGAGTTTTCACTCAATAAGGTGCTGTGGAAATTGTCCATAAATATGGTTTGTACCTTAAAAAAGGCTGATTTGGGGCATAAATGAAGAAAATCAACCCCAAGTTTTTTGTTTTGCCCCTAAGTTTCCCTTGGAAAGAAAAATAAGCCCTAAGTTCTTAGTTTGGCTTGTTTTGTCGTTAAATTTTCTCTGGAAATGAAAAATCAGCCCCAGATTCTTTCTCTGATTTGGTTTGTCCCTAAATTTTCACTGCCAGCCTGATGCCAGCACTTTTGTTGGGATTATTTTTGAAGTTAATTTCCTGGATTATCAGCTTCAGACAAACCATGGAGTTAATGATTGGAAAAGACAAAATCGTGGACGTGGAAAACACCGAGTTTTTGGGAAATGAAGGAGGGAGAAGTGGTTTTAGGTGCCAGGTGAAGCTGCAGGGCTAGAGACGCCTCCAAGCCCTGACTGGGAATGTCTGGGCACGTGGTTTCCCTTTTCCACCTGGGAGGTGTTCCTTGCTCACCTTCACTGTTTGTTGAAGGTGTTTCAGGCTCCAAAGGGCGCCCCGTGGATTTCCGGCCTGAGGAATGTGGTGTTGGTGATGTTTGGGTAAACAAAGCCCTGAAACCTGTTTTATCCCTGCAGCAAGAATTTCAAAGCCGTGGGATTAGGAGTTAAGACTGTAATTGAGGGAAATCCAGGCAGAAAGTGTGAAGAAGAGCCTCAGTTTTGCTTGAGAGAGCAAGTTCTGGGATGAGCTGGATTTATCCTTGTGTTCCCTTTGGTTTCATTCTGGCATCGTTCTGGGGCTTTTTGTTGTCCTCGAGTTTGCTCTGCCAAGGCTCTGATTTTCCTGGGTTTGACTTCTCTGGATAAACCCAGTGTCCACAAAACTTGAGGATTTTTTGCTGTAGATGCCAAACTTCAGCCTCTCCACTTTTTACTGATGAAAAAATGTTGAATGGGGTGGTGAGGAGATGGTGCCGTGTGGGGGCTCGGTGGCAGAATTCCCAAAGGGCCCATTCAGGACCCACATTCAAATCCCACACTCAGGACTTGCTTCTGTGTTCCCTTAAGCTCTGGTGTTCCTGTAGGATCCTCATAGTCCCTCAGTTCTCCTGGTCCTGGTGCTGCCCACGCTTCCCAGCACTCATGGCCACGTGGAAAATCAATTTATTAATAAAAATACTTGATAGGTTACCTGGCTCAGGTTCTCCTGAGTGACTACAACATAAAGTGTCTTCCTAAAAATCCCCTGGGAGTGACCAGACCCTTGCTAAAGCTGAAAAAGGCAGGTTTGCTCCTTGAATGCCATCCAGGAGTTGTGCTTGGAAGTTTCTCCCCAGAGCAGAGGTGGGGCTGGCAGGTGACCCCAGGACTGACTTTCGTCCCTGGACATCCAAATTTTCCGTAGCAAAACAGGGATGAACAAGGAAACTGGTGAAGGAAATCCCAACTTCCCTGTAGCGAAACAGGGATGAACAAGGAAACCAGTGAAGGAGATCCCAAATTTCCTGTAGCAAACCAAGAATGAACAGAGATTGAGGAAATCCCAACTTCCCTGTAGCGAAACAGGGATGAGCAAAAAACCGTACAAATTTCTCTTCAAGAGCAGAGGTGGGGCTGGTCCCCAGTGACTTCCTCCCTTGAAGGGGAATCCCAAATTTCCTGCATCAAAACAGGGATAAACAGGGAAATTGGTGGAGGAGATTCCAAATTTCCTGTAGTAAAACAAGGATGAGTTTCTGCTCAGAGCAGAGGCTGGCAGGTGACCTCAGCACTGGTTTTCCTCCTTTGGAGGAGAACCCAAATTCCCTGTAGCAAGCCAGGGATGAGTTTCTCCTCAGAGCACAGGTGGGGCTGGCAGGTCCCCAGTGACTTTCCCTCTCAGAGAAGCTCCCAAATTACCTCTATAAAAGCTGTGAACAAAATCTGGTGGTGGAAAACCCAAATCCCCCGTAGCAAAGCAGGCCCGAACAAGCGAAGCGGTCGCAAAGCCCCGCTGTGCTGGAGCAGGATGGAGCTGGCTGTGCCCGAGGGTCGTTCTGGGAAGGTCCAGAGGGCCACGTTCCCCCCATGTCCCGCGTGGATCTGCAGCTCAGGCGTGGGAGTTGATGGCTTTTTGTTTTCTCTCCCGGTGACGTCAGCCTGCACCTGACCACCTTCAGCCTGCAGTACACCCCGCCCGTTGTGGCCTGCGTCTGTATCCACCTGGCCTGTAAGTGGTCCAACTGGGAGATCCCAGTCTCCACGGACGGGAAGCACTGGTGGGAATACGTTGATGGCACTGTAACTCTGGAGCTCTTAGATGGTAAGTTTGGGAGCGAGGTTTTTTTCCCCTGCAAAAAAAGGCTCTTAAATTATTTTGGCATCGCTAGTCCTGGGTCTGATGTTCCAACACCACCTCACGGGCTCCAGGAGTTCAGGGCTTGCTGAGGTTTTCCAGGGCAGCAGCAGCTTCTGTAGCACCACAGAGAAATGAGTTTGAATGGGTCAGTGATTCCAGTTGTCAGAATTCCCCTCCTGGCACAGCTCCATCCCACCAGTAGCTCCATCTGTCAGATGAGGGGGTTGTACTGATGGACTGGGGCTGCTCTGACCCTCCCGCCTGGGTTTGTGTCTCCTCTGTAGAACTGACTCATGAATTCCTGCAAATCCTCGAGAAAACTCCCAGCCGACTGAAACGGATCCGGAACTGGCGGGTAAGGACCTTGGACACGGGCTGTGATTCCTTTGGGAATCACAGTGCAGGACAGCAAGGGAGGGAGTTGTGTGTGGAATTGGGATGCTGTGGTGCTTGTGGTGCTCAGGTTTGTCTGTTGTGAATTAACTTGTACAGAACTTTGGTTTTCCAGCTGCATTAGCAGCCCTGCTTCCAGGGGTTGGGAATTTTCCCAGAGGGAGGGATGGAAGCAAAGTGGATCTGTCTTTAAAGAAGATCTTGCACTGTCCTGGTGAGCTGCTTGGATTAAACCAGCTCCAGCGACACCCCGAGTAAAGACACGCCGATTTGTTTAATTCCAGGCCTCTCAAGCAGCCAGGAAATCCAAGACCGACGACCACGGCGACGACGAGAGCCTGTCAGAGCAGACAATCCTCAACATGATCTCCAGGAACAACAGCTCGGACATGAACATCGCTGGGCTCATGAGCATGTCCACATCCTCCACCGCCGGAGCGGGGCCGGCGCTCCCCGCCGCAGCCGATTCCCCCGGGGAGCCGAGCGCTGCGGATCCATCCCAGGCGGATCACTGGCATCCCCCGGCCAAGCTGGATATCCACAGGACTAGCGAGAGCACGTCGGCTGCTGAGCACCCGCAGCAGGATGGTGCTGCCTACCCCAAGCAGAGCACCAAGAACGCACCCTCGGCCAAGGTGTCCCTCAAGGAATACCGGGCCAAGCACGCCGAGGAACTGGCGGCACAGAAGCGGCAGCTGGAAAACATGGAAGCAAACGTGCGCTCCCAGTACGCCTACGCCGCACAGAACCTCCTGGTGCAGCAGCAGCGGGAGAGGGAAGGGCAGCAGGACAGCAACCCTTCCCCAATCGTCCTGAAAATCCCCATCGCGGGGCCGGAGAACCCCGAGCGCCCGCCCGGCGCCGACAAGGGTGACAAGGCTCTCAAGATGAGGATCCCGGCGGTGGCGGGAGGCGCGGAGAGGCCGATCCCCTCCAAGCAGGAGGAGATCAAGATGCGGATTAAGGTGCCGGGTCCCGGAGACAGACACGGCTCCGCTGATGAGAGCGGCGGGAAGAGCCGGGAGTACAAAGAGAAGCACAAGGGGCACTCGTCCAACCACCACCACCACCACCACAACCACCACTCGCACAAACACTTGCACGCCCAGCTCGGCGCCGGCCCCAGCACCGCGGCCAAGCGCCCGGGGGACTCCAAACACAGCGCCCAAGCCGGTGCCGCTGCCACCCCCCACAAGGGCTACGGGCCTCTCGCCCCTACCCGCAAAAGACCCCTGCCCGAGGAGCCCCCGGCCATGCCCCACGAGCACCAGCCCAAGGTGGGCAAAGTCTCCAAAGGCCCCGGAGTGCCGTTCCCATACGCCCACCTCCCTGGGGCTGCCCACCTGCCTGGGCACAGCTCGGATTTATCCCAGCCCAGCAAAGCCCGGAGTGGCCACAAATCGGACAAGGGGCCTTCGGGGGCCAACGGGCACAACGTCAGCCAGGCCAGTGACTATCAGGACACGGTGAACATGCTGCACTCGCTGCTGAGCGCGCAGGGCATGCAGCCCACCCAGCCCCCCGCCTTCGAATTCCACCACTCGTTCGAGCTCCTGAACCCCCGGGCTTCCAGCAGCTCCAGAGCTGCCACCAACACGGACAAGCCCCGACCGCCCCCCCTGCCCTCGGAACCGCCTCCCCCGCTGCCTCCCCTCCCCAAATAACCCCATTTTTACTACTGAGTCCAGAGCCCAAGCCCAAACCTGCGGGGCTTTTCTAAGGGCTTTTTGATCTCCACTGCCTCACGAAGAACTTATTTTATTATAATATAACTTTTATTATTGATATTTAGTTGTTAAAGCTGTGAAAGGATAAGGAACCCTTTCTCTATTCCTCCCTTTCCCCCATAGGCTCCCAGTTAGTGTTGGGCTTTGACCCCCCCTCTGGGGAACATGGGGGATATTTAAAATATGTCACAGAAAATTTAAGATGTTTTACAAATAATTTAAGCATTAACTTATATCTTAGTGGTTTGGTTCCTTTTAATTCCGAGGGGCTGTGGAAGATCCCGGGGGGCTTTTGGGGAGGTACCACTCGAGATGTTGATGTTCAAGAGGTTTTGGGGGGATGGAGGGATTTGGGGGGCTGAGGGAATCCCAGGTGATGGGAGCTGTTCTCCCTCACATGGGTCCTGTTTTCTTGCCCCTGCACCTGTTCTGGTTTGGGATCTGGTCTCCATTCCTTGCTCCTGCAGATCCTGGGATTTCCGCTGGAAACCCTTGGAGCGTGGGGGATCTTGAGGGGACACGTTGCCAGTGGGATGTGGGATGAGAAAGTTCCAGGCTGGTCCTGTAGGCACCATGCCCGGGGCAGCTCTTTAGGGAATCACATTGGCACTTGGCTGTTCCCAGCTTAGCTGGAAGCAGCTTCTGGAACCTCAGCCCAGTGCCTGACTGGGCAAACCTGCCATGGTTTGGGTTGAATATTTGGGAAGGCCCTATTTCCTTTCTTAGGCTTGACTTTTCTGACCTTCAATAAATGGGTGGTCTCTGGATGGTTTTGGGAAACTCTTGTTCCACGTCGAGCTTGTTTTTGGGAGGAATTGCTGCTGCCAAACCTCCTCCAAGGATGTGGGGACAGATTTGGTCCAGTTTTGGGACCAATTCGTAGATTTCAGGTTCTGGGCAAGGCCCATCCCTTGTTTCCCTTTCCTTCTGGAGCCCCTCTTGGAGGCAGCTCTTCCCGGGATGTCGAGGCTCTGCCCTTCCCTGTGGGGAGCAGTGTCGGTTCGTGTCTGCCTCAAAACCGGGAGGGGACCGAGTGATGCCAGGGGGGCTCATGGTGGTGCCCTGGGACGAAGCCGGCCCTACCTCGAGCGTCTCCTCACCCAGAGCCAAAGCCCCCGCCCAGTCCCGGCTCTCTTCCTCCGGGTTTCGGGGCCGGGAATTCTATCCCTCCAATCCCCGGGACTCGCCCCCACCTCAAGTGCCCTGTTCCGGGACCCCCCCACTCCGGGTCGGGTTCCAGGGCCCCCTCCCCGCGGTGTCCTGGCCCGGAGCCCTCGCCCTTCCCCTGCCCCCGGTCCTGGCCCGGGAACCCGCCCCGCTCCCGCCGCGCCCACGTGCCGCGTTCCCGCCGTGCTGCCCCCACGTGACCTCAAGAGGGCGTGGTCGCTCCCAGCGTGAGTGACTGCGGGCTCAGCCAGTTGCGCGCGGGAACGCCCCCACGCTCGCCGCTGATTGGCTGGCGGGCGGGCCAGTGAGGTGGCGGGGCGGGCACACGGCGCGGCAGCGCGGAGGCCGCGGCGGCAGAGAGGTAAGATGGCGGCGGCGGCGCTTGCTTGCAATGGGGCCCGGTTTGCTCCTTATCGCGGCGCCCGAGTGCTTCTCCAGGGCTCCTCCATCCTGAACCGTCCCGGAGGCGGCTTTCCTCCCGCTCTCCGCTCCGGCAGCGCTGACTGGGAGCCCCTCAGGGGCGCCCCTCACGCCCGCCGCCCGCAGACAAAATGGCGGCGCAGGGGCGGCGGGAGGGCGCATGCGCGGGAGCGCGGCGGCAGAGCACGTGCGCGGGCGGGGGGCGCCGGGAGAGGGGCTGGGATGGACCGGGATAGAGGTCGGGACAGACCGGGATGGGCACCGGGAGAGGGGCTGGGATGGACCGGGATGGGCACCGAGAGGGGGGCTGGGATGGACCGGGATGGGCACCGGGAGAGGGGCTGGGATGGACCGGGATAGAGGTCGGGACAGACCGGGATGGGCACCGGGAGAGGGGCTGGGATGGACCGGGATGGGCACCAGAAAAGACCGGGATAGACGGTGGCTGAGGCTGGATAGTCAGTGGGGATGTGCCGGTATGGAGGCGTGGATGGACACCGGTAGCGGGGCAGGACGAGTCACCGGGATACGTCGGGATAGAGGCGATAGGCACTGGGAACACCGAGGAGATGCACTGGAGGTGCACTGGGAGAAGAGGATCCCCCACAGATTTCTGCAGGGCTAAAAGTTCCCTCGGACATTATTGGGAATTACCTCCATAGAAGAAGCCTCGTTTTCTGCTGAAGGGGTCAGGCTTTTATTCAACTTCTTTCCCGCTGCTACTTTTTATTTTATCAGCATTTTATTCCATTCCCTTTCCTTGCTCTGCATCCCTTCTGCAGCGTGGGTATGAACAGGATCCGGATTCACGTGTTGCCGACGAGCCGAGGCCGCCTGACCCCGGTGCCACGGCCGCAGGAGCCCTTGGGCTGTGCCTTCGCCCCCCGGCCCTGCTCCCAGCCCCGCCTGGAAGGGCAGGAATTCTGCATCAAGCACATCCTCGAGGACAGGAATGCTCCCTTCAAACAGTGCAGCTACGTGTCCACAAAGAACGGGAAGCGTTGTCCCAACGCCGCTCCCAAGCCCGAGAAGAAGGATGGGTGAGTGGCTCTGCCTCCTGGTTTTCCAGTCCCAAACTATGGAATTAAAACAGGCAGGGGGAGGTTTTTCTCTTTGTCTTCCATGTTGAAGGAACAGCTGGAGCTGTGTCAAGGGAGGTTTTATACTGGATTTTGGGAAAAGGTTCTTCTCCCAGTTCAGCACTTGAGCAGCTCCTCAGGGCAGTGGTCACATCCACAACCCTGCCAGAGCCCAAGGAGTGTTTGGATAATGCACCCAGGAACATGGTGGGATTTTGGGATGTCCTGTTCAAGGCCAGGAGATGGACTTGGCGATCCTTGTGGGTCCCTTTCAGGATATTCCATGATTCTTCTCTTTCAGCTGCTGCATTTGGGTTACCTCTGAGAACATCTTCATTTTTTCAAAATGTTTTTAAGCTGGAGAAAGACTCCATGGAGTTAATTTGGGACTGTGAGCTGTGCCCTGGCCCAGCAGAAGGTGGCTGCAGTGCTCCAGGCCCTGCACTGGATCCCTCCCTCATCCCAGCACATCCCACTGCCTGTGCCAGGGGATAATCCCCAGAGCAGCCACTCACATCCCTGTGGAGCTTTGACCTGCTTGTGCTGCTGCTTCCCTCAGGCTGTTAAAATGCTGGAGTGTTGGGGATGGAAGGGATGGAAGAATTGTGGTTGACAGAGCACAGATTCCTCACAGGAGCGTTGCTTTCAGGGATTTACTGGGATGTGGACAGGGATTGTCTCCACACTGGTCCCTGTGCCATAAAATGTGGGGAAGGCAGAGTCCAGTGAGAACGTTTAGAAGCAGAAGAGCTCAGAAACTCACCCACCTCACTGGCTTTAACTGAAAGCTCTTCTCACTCCCTGCTGCCTGAGGTGATGCTCCCACTGGTGGGTGGGCTCTCAGCATTCCCAGGCTGGACCTGCATCCAGCTCCCTATGAGAGATTCCAGGTGCCAGGAATCTTTTGCCTTGGCCAATTCCCTTCTGCCCTGCTCAGGTGAAACCTTGCATCCAGAGCTGCTTCCAGCCCTGCCCCCAGCACAGGAAAAACATGGAGCAGTTGGAGTGAGTTCAGAGAGGCACCAAGATGAGCAAAGGCATGGAACAGCTCTCCTAGAAGGAAAAGCTGAGAGAATTAGAATTATCCTGGAGAAGAGAAGCTCAGATTTGACCTAATTGTGACCTAAAAGTGCTTGAAGGGGTTGCAGGAAGTTGGATAAACTATTTACAATGGGTGGAGTGCCAGGACAAGAGGGAATGGCTTCCCACTGCCAGAGGCAGGGTTAGATGGGATATTTGGAATAAATTTCTCCCTGTGAGGTTGGGGAGGCCCTTGCACAGGTTGCCCAGAGAGGCTGTGGCTGCCCCTGGGTCCCTGGAAGTGTCCAGGGCTGGGTTGGACGGGGCTTGGAGCAACCTGGGATAGTGGAAATTGTCCCTGCCCATGGCAGGGGGGGACCTGGATGATCTTTACATTCCCTCCCAATCCAAAGCATGCTGGGATTCTGTGGAAATGCAGGAATGCAGAAGGTTTGGGAGCTGTTGCAGGGTTGGTGGCTGCTCCTCTGGAATGGCTGTGTGCATTTCAATCCCTTGAGGGGCCTCTTCAAAAGAGGATTTTCCCCCCACACCCCCATTTTGTCTCGCATGAGGAAAACAGGAAGATTTTAATCCCCAGATTATTGTGGCATCATCATCCTGCATTTCAGCCAACACGCTTGAAAGCCTGAGGAATGCACTGAGGCCAGACCAAAGGCCGGGGATCCATGGGAGCTGCTGGTGTGAGGGAGGCGTCCCTGAGTGTTTGGATGCTCCTGAGATTGCCGAGCAGTGCTGTTGGAGGCAAAGCTGGGAATTGCTTTGGGGTTTGGTGATGGAGGAGGGATTCCAGCAGCAGGAGCCAGGAGAGCAAGGCGGGGTCAGGCTGGGAGGGAGCTCAGATCAGCTTTTAGGTTCTTCCTGAAAGAAGAACTGCCAGCACTGCCCAAACCCAGCCCAGCCCTGGGGGCTCAGCTCTGCCCTGCAGAGCCCTCCCAGCTCAGGGCACTGCCCAGGGGAAGCTCTGGCTCTGCAGGCTCTGATGGGAATGTCAGAGCAACCCTGAGGAGGCTGGAAAAGCGACACTGATGCTGCCTGTAAAGGACCCTGTGCTGATTTCTGTCACTGCCTGGTTAAGTGTTGGAGTCTGGCATACAGAGTGTGTGCCCTTGTTTCTGATACTTAACTCTAAGATGCAGAAAAACACTGAATTTCATATAATATGAAATTCATGAACATGTTTTCATGGTGATACATGAAAACAACTCTTAAAGTTAGATACAAAAAGCTAAAAGTGTGTGTAGATTAGAGAGCTTTCTTAATTCACTGGGTGAAAAAGTTAGTTTAGAAAGCAGAAGAAAAGAAAGAAGACAAGATGGAGGATTTAGGGTGTTGTCTCTTATCCCTTCTTCTTTCTTCTTCATGTTCTTCAACCCAAATTATTGTCCAGTTCCTTTCCTGGCTGCGGGTTGTGCTGAGGCTGTGCTTTGTCCCGCAGCACGTCGTTCTGTGCGGAACACGCCCGACGGAACGCGCTGGCGCTCCAGGCTCAGCTGAAGAAATCCAACCCCGGGCCCGTGGGTGAGACC